GTCAGGATCACAGAACCTTCTTGACCCAGTCACCTCCCAAAGGTCCCACTTCTCAACACTCCTGCAATGGGGATCCAGTTTCCAACACATCCAGATGTTACACCCTGGATGCACACATCTACCCTGAAGGCTGGTTCGCTGGGAGATAAGTAGGGCTGGGAGTGTGGCTCTGTGGTAGAGCTCCTGCTTAGTATATGCAAGGCCCTGGGTTTGAGCCTCAGAGAAGAAGAGGTATTAAGGAGGAAGGGAGGGAGGAGAGAGGGAGGGAGAGGGGGAGGAAGGAAGAGTGGGAAAGGAGGAGGGAGAAAGGGAGGAAGAGAGCAAAAGAAATAGAGAATTAATTTATTTGGTGCTGGGAATGTAGCTTAGTAATAGAGAACTTACTTGTCTGTCATGTGCTAGGTCCCAGGTTCAACCCTTAGTACACCCCTTTCCCCTGCCAAGGGAAAAAAATCTTGCCTATAATCTGTAATGCCAGGGGTACATAGTAAGGCTGTGTATTGAGAGAGGAGACAAGGAGACAGGGGGAAAGCAGCTACCAGTTGCCAGAAGTTAAGAGATATCCTGCATTGAGTGAGGTTTACTTGGGATCATATTTTTCATCTGCTGATGCTATAATCAGTAAGATCCTACTGGAATGATTCCACCCTCTCTCAGTTCCAGGTCTTTAGGGCAATGTTGTATGTTAGGCTGGTATCTCAGAGTTATGGCCACACAGAGCCACTTTTCTCCGATTCTAGAGAAAAGTGTCAAGCCCACAGTCTTCCTGAGAAAAATCTTTGAGGGACAACCAGCCTCAGAGAAACACACACCCAACCCTCTCAGGGATTGCTATCAGAGCTCCAAATGTGGAGTCACCAATTATCCTTAATGAAAGCGGGGTTTCTCTTCCTCCTTCTCCATGTTCTGAATGGCTACATTCTTAACTTACATCAGCTAACCAGCAGCCGCACACTCCTTGATGAATGGAATACAAATCTGATACTGGACCCAGCCCAGACAGACAAGACAAAGTCCCCGGTGTTTAGTCTCAGCACCAGTTTCATTTGAAAATCCTCAGATTATTCTGCTATGCACTGAGGATTGAGGACCAGTGTCCTAGACCACCAGGGACCTTTTTTTTTTTTTTTTTGGTGACAACTATGTTATCCAAAAATTACTCTCATTTCTCAGCCTCCCTCCCTTCCTTCCTTCTCCTCAACACTCTCTCCTCTGTGTCTTTGCTCCCCAGAAAACTGAATCAGCGTCACCGGCACCACCACCATCTCCCCATAAGACTTTAATCCAGTTGTGCCCATGGGTAAGCATGCCACAGCATGCATGTGGAGGGCAGAGGACAACTTGCAGGAGTGGGGTCTCACCTTCCCCCTTGTGAACAGGGTCTTTCTGGTTCCAGCTGCTGTGCCGTGTCCTCTAGGCTGACTGGCCCTAGAGCTTCCCTGTGATTCTCCTCTCTCTGTCTCCCAAGCCACCAGTGGAGCGCTGGGGTCACAGGTGTACACCATAAATCTGCTCTTTACATGGATTCCAGGGGGCAAACCCTGGTGGTCAAGACTGAGAAACTAATACCTTTCCCCACTGAGACACCTCCCCAGCCCCATGAGTGATTTTTATGGAAAGGTAAAAACACCTGGATTATCAGTCAGTTAAGTATTCAGTTATAGCCATAGCTTAAAAAACAAACAGTGACTGGCCCTGGTGGCGCACACCTTTAATCCCAGCACTCAGGAGGCAGAGGCAGGCAGATCTCTGGTCTACTATGTGAGTTCCAGGATAGCCAAGGGTACCCAGAGAAACTCTACCTCAAAACGAACAAACAAACGAACAGTGCACAGCTAAGGAGTTACTGGCAAATGATGGCTACTGAAGAAAAGGTCAGTTTTTGGTTTTGTTTTTCAGAAATATGATCCCTGAGAGGCTATCTATGGTCTAGTAGGTGGTCCTATACCCATGTACATCCAGGTCGCATTAAGTGGAGTTAGTGGATTGATGGGGTGGGGGTGTAGAATTTTGGAGGGAAAAGTAAACCTTGAACTATGAACTCTGGAGGGAAAAGTGAACTTTGAACTATGAACTCTGGAGGGAAAAGTGAACTTTGAACTATGAACTCTGGAGGGGAAAGTGGTGGAATGGTAAGGGAAGAGCTGGGTGGGAGGGCATAGGAGGTGGATTTGATCAAAACACATTGTATGCATGACTGGAATTCTCAAACAATTTTTAAGCTTAAGAATATGGTCTGTCATAACCTTGTGTAGAGAATTACATTGATATTAGAAATCACGATATGTTAAAAAAATAAATAACAGTGCTTCTGTTTTTCATGCTTGAGGTAACAGAAAAAAAACTATTGCAATATGTCAAATATATGCTTGAAAAACAGAACAAATAAGATTGGTGTCATAATACAGCAAAATGGAACAGTCTAGACAATGAAGCAAGTAATAAGTGTGCAGAGTGTAAATGGGGTAGGGAGCAAGGCAGTAAGCTGAGGAATGTGACAGTGGCCTCCTCGGCCCTGACAGCCCAACCCACAGAAAGAGAAAGTTATAAAATATTCCACAGATGCCCTTTGGCTGTCTGAGCACTTACAAACGGAGATGGGGCAGAGTGTGTGGGGGGAGGTTAGATGGAAAAACCCAGAAATGCACTAGAGCATGATGAATGAGGATGAGCCTCAAGGTTCTTCCAAACGGTCCCTCGTACATGTCAGAGCTACAGTGGGAATAACTGCCATCAAGTCCAGAAAGAAAAACCCTAGTAAAGGCATGATTCTCCTGAGCCAAGAAATTTCAGACTTTCTGAGAGACTCTAAGGAGTTTATTTACATATTGCGCAGTATCCTCTGGTTTGCCCTTTCAAGTCGGGCAGGAAGGCACGGGACAAGCCAGATGCCACACAGGAATGATAAGCCAGGCCAACCGCAATTGCTGAACCTGGAAGGCAGTTCTAGGCAGGCTGGTGTCCCAGGACTAATCTGTGTGTGAGGGAAGTGGGTCCCTCTTTGGACCTTCAGGCGACCTCCGTTCACAGGTTCATGCTCCAAGTGTCCCATCCTCCAATGCTGCTCTTTCTGGCAGTTTTTTTCACAAGCCTGGCCTTGCCACATCTGCTTTTTGCTCGGTCCTTCCAAGGCTGGCAATCTTTCTGATCGCCTATGACAGTAGCAGCTTCCAACTGGTATAAACCACTATGAGATAATAACAAGGGCAAAAGGCCTAGTCTCGGCTGCAATGCACATATGTGTACACACACACACACACACACACACACACACACACACACACACACACACGCACACACATACACGCACACACAGAAACGCACACACAGACACACACAAACATATAACTGTCTAAAGACACTTTGATTACTTCCAGGGCTACTTAGCTCTCCATGTGGAAAGTGCTCTGGGGCCCTGTCCAGGCCCACTGAGGAATCACAAACTGTGGGCATCAACGTCTGCCAGCCATGGTTCCTGGTGAGAGAGCAGCAGGCCAGTCCCATCCTGCTAGCCCCACTGAAATGCTTCCCAAGGCCAAGGGCATCACATTTAGGCGGGTGACTTCCACTTTACACTTTGTGAGGAATGAAAGAAACAGAGGCACAACAGCGCACTTAGAATTAGGAATAATCTTTTACAAATGCCAGTCGTCTAAAAGTCTGATCTTTAAAAATGATGACTTTTTACCCAAATGCAGAGAATGGCGGCCATCATTAATAGAAACCGAACCCAAGACCTAGTAAGTACATCAGCAGATGTCAACAAGAGTCCAGAAAGAAAGGACAAGCTTGGAGAGGGTACTAGAAACTGGGTGAGTGCATTATTTACATGTATGGAAATGCGGTAATGGAACCCAATATTTTGGAGAACTAACATATGTTACTAAAAAAATTTCCTGGGCCAATGAGTAGTCCCTTACCGCTCAAGCATAACGGCCTGAGTTCAATCCCTGGGACCTCACGGTAGAAGGAGAGAACTGACCCTTAGTAGTTGTTCTCTGACCTTGATATATGCACTATGGTATAAGTGCCTCCTCAACACACCACACACACACACACACACATACACACACACACACACACACACACACACACACACACACACACACACTCACACACTTAAATAAACACTGTAATGATATTTTAAATGTCCTTAAGGGATGTCCAAACTTTTGACATCACCACACGAAGGTATTGTCTATAATCGTGTTGGAATATAGTCCTAGCTATGCTGAAACATATGTGGGCCTCAGGCTGCAGGTTAGACATGTCTAAACCAGCTTGTCAATGCTTGGAGATTTAAAATATAAAACCAAAGTGATCTCTGAAAAAATGTGTGGAGCTAGAGAAAAAGATTAATTTTAACACAGAGATCATAAGGTCCCAGAAGGAAAAAAAAATGAGGAATGGATTTGGCTTATTGTATTAGAGTTGAATTCCCAGTACTTAGCATGGCATTTGGCAAGCAGCAGGTGTAATGAATAAATTCATGACCATATATGCTAATCTAAAAAGACATTTAAACACCAAATGCTGTTTGGACCAAAAAATATTATCTTTATAAGCTATAATGGTTTCATATTCTTTTTCCTGTTCAGTTTATTAAGAGAAAGACATTAAGAATCACTTCACTATCCTTGAAGTCAATATTTAAGGGAAATATTAATACTACTACTGTAGTAACAATGGAAACCCTCACATAACCCTTGCTAAATGCTAGTCACTGTCCCAAGGGCTTTATTTATAGCTGCTGCTTAATCCTTGAGTTACCTTGCAGAGAGGCAGTGGGAGTGTGTAAGGCCACCACTCCTACTGTCAACTTGACACATGTAGAGTCGTCCAAGAGGAAGAACCCATGAGGAAAGTATTGCCTCCTTCCATTGACCCGGAGCCATGTCTGTGAGAGACTGTCTTGACCGATGATGAATGTGGAAGAGTCCAACCTTCCGTGGATAGCACTATCCGTAAGCAGTTGAGTCTAAGCTGTGTAAGAAAGTTAGTTGAGCATAAGCCAGTGAGTGAACTAGTGAGCAGCATTCTTCCATGTTTCTGCCTCTGAGTTGCTGCTCTGGCTTCCTTCAGTGACAGACTGTGACCTGGAAGCTTAAGCCGGGTGAACTCTTTCCCAGGTTTGAATGGAAAGGAAACCAGAACACAGTGGTTTTTGTTTTGTTTTGTTTTGTTTTTAATCACAGCAACAGAAAGGAAACCAGAACACCTGCCAAATGGCACTTGTAAAGGCAGTCGGCCACTGTCGCCACATGCCATGTGACATCTCATCCATACGACTCTCAACAAATGTGCACAAAGTGCCCCCTGTGCGCAAGCATGATGCCCATTACATACAGACAAGGAAGTTCCAGTGAGCCTCTCCAGACCAGATTCCTTTTGTCATGGTCACTCATGTCCCTCCAAACCCAGGTTCTGTTCCCGAAACAGCCTCCTTCACAAATTTGATTTTTAGGAGCAAGGCATCATACCACACACCTGTAATCCAAGCACTTGAGAGACTGAGGCAGGAGAATCTGGACTTGAAGGCTAGCCTGGGCTACACAGGGAAGCACAGGCCAACGTGAGCTATCGTATGAGACCCTGTTTCAGAAACAAAGCAATTCTGATTCCAGTCTCAACAAGCTCTTGCTTACGGAGCCAGGCAGGAACCAGCAGCCCTTCACCATCGCACTGCATACAAGGTGTGAATCATGATGTAACAGAAAAGAACAGAGAATTCAAGCTTGTCTTCCCAGGAGGTACGGTGAGTGTTTGCAGCAAATTCATGGAGCTTCCTTGAAAAGCTGAAGTGTTGGTCTGCTGTAGTAGCTATCTGTTGAGACATTGCCTTTCCCCTCAGCACTGAACATCCAGAAAAGAAAAGCTTGAAACAGACATGCAAGAGGACAGGCAGGAAGGGTTTGTTTGCAGAATCAAGACTGGTGGCTTCCTTTTACCAAACCTCCCCAAGGTCTTAATAAATTTTCTGCATGTACATAAGAAATGAGGATGGTAGCTAGGGAGCTTAGCTAATGGGGACCATTAGCAAACCTGATCTGGTAATATAATATATGAATCACGTTTATGTATTGACTCTAAGCTGTGAAACTCCCCCTACCCCCCGCAGACACCTGCCAGGCTGTAGCTAGTTAACTGGCACTTATTGGCATTAAGTCATAATTCAGAAAACCTTGAATAAATACATTTGTTTTCTGGGAAGTAAGTTGCAGCATCAGCAGGCCATGCCTGAGTTTCCTGGAGCACGCATCTCCATCTGGCCTGGGTGTCTCACACTCTGCTCCTGCACCTGCTGCTCTATCAGTAACACAGTGTGTGCTCATTAGAGCAAGCTAAGTGCTGCAGCAGATGCCCGAAATATAAAACAGGTCCACCACGGTGGGCCTCCGTTCTGTGCTCACCTATTAATTCCAAAGAGATGAACAGACCCCATCCATTTAAAAGGCCATTTCTGGAAGCTCTGTATCTTCAAGTCTTCAAGTCGAAGGTCGTATCACTTCAAGGTCAGACTGGGTACTGAAATCAAGCCGCCAGGCGAGGCAAGCCTGAAAGATAGCATGGGTTAGGTTTCCATGGGCCAGGGAGGAGACATGTGTTCATTCTGCCCAATACTGTTGGGAAGAAGGACCCGGGATACAGGTTCAGCTCTGTGTCCAGGGAGGAAGGGGAAAAGCAATCTCAGATTTTGGATAAGTGCTTAGGAGTCTCCACCCTGTGATAAATTATGAGATTGAACCCTGAGTTTTATTCCTTACACTCAATAAAGAGGCAACAATATAGACCGCAAGACATATTTACATATTTTGGTAAATATTTCCAAGTTCTGTTTTGGGGGCTTCTCTGGGCATATATAAAAATAGCTATGAAAAGAAAAACAAAACAAAACCCATCAACTGATGCAGTAATTTCTTTCAGGTAGACCTAGATTTGAATCTGGGGTCTATCACTGTGCAGCTGGTTGATGTGGGGAAGATGTTAACTTCCCCAGTCTCAGTCTCCTTATACAAAAACTGGTGTAAGTACAGCATCTCACAGTGACGTTGGAAAGATTCAATGAAATCATGAATATGAGTCTGTATCATGGGACCCAGCACATAAAAATCAAAGCACATTTCACTGTGGTTCCCAGTGGTAAGCAATGGCACCTCTGTCTTAGTCAGGATTTCTATTGCTAAGACAAAACACCATGACCAAAAAGCAAGTTGGGGAGGAAAGGGTTTATTTGACTTATTACTTCAACATTGCTGTTCACCACTGAAGGACGTCAGGACAGGAAGTCAAGCAGAGCAGGATCCTGGAGGCAGAAGCTGATACAGAGGTCATGGAGGGATGACCTTGCTTCCCATGGCCTGCTCAGCCTGCTTTCTTATAGAACCCAGGACCACCAGACTAGGGACGGCACCACCCACCATGGGCTGGGCCCTCCCCCATTGATCACTAATTGAGAAAATGCCTTACAGCTGGATGTCATGGAGGCATTTCCTCAACTGAGGCTCCTTCCTCTCTGATGACTCTAGCTTGTGTCAAGTCGACACACATAAACCAGTCAGTACACCTTCTAAAACTAAAATATATAATCAGTGGGTAGAACTCATCAAAAGTGAGGTGAAAAAGTCAAGGAATTCTCAAAACCATCTTTCACATTAAGAGAATGAGTTGTGGGGGGGGGGGGGAGGCGGTGCAGCTGGAGTGATGGCTCAGTAGTTTAAGAATACCCGCGGGCTGCTTTTGCAGAGAACCCAGCACCTACATGACAGCTTACAGCAATCTATAACTCAGAGCATCTGATGCCCTCTTCTGGTCTCTTGGGGCACTGCACATACGTGGTATATATATACATACATACAGGCACGTGCACGCACTCATAAAATCAAAATAAATAAATCTTTAAAATAAGGAGATTATGAGTTGGAAGGAGTTAGGAATTCAGAGCCTGCTGTTGAGACCCCATTCCACTCCCCCGGGGCAGGTTTTCCAGGTGCTTGACAGTTGCATCCATGGTGGGAGGGGGGGATGTCCACAGCAATGCAAAGTAGATTAACAGGAGGCTTAAAGGTAAGATATGAGGCTCTAATAAAAGGAAACATGGGGCCATCAGGACATTTATCCAGACAATGATGTTTTGAACATCACTGTCCCCCTCCAAAACACAGGCAACAAAAGCAAAAATAGACAACTGGATTCATTAAACTAAAAATCCGCCTTGCAAAGGAAGTATTCACTAGCAATGCATGTGCTAAGGGGTTAATGTTGAAAAGGATACAGGGAACTCAAAGGACTAGCACATAGCTCAGCAAAACATGGGCAAAGTACTAACTAGACATTCTGCAGAAGACATACAAATGGTTCAACACCACTAATTGTCAGAAAAATGCACATCAGAACCTGGAATGCAAACCATACCTGTTAGAATGGTTATCTAAGTAACGAAGGGAACTAGGCACGGTGCCAGACTCCTGTAATCCCAGGATTACCACATGATGGAGGCCAGACGGAGCTATGAGTTGAGACCTTTTCTCGGAAAACAAAAAGATAAAAGGTACATTTCTGGAAAGCTTGTAGAAAAAAGGGGAATCACACCACATTGTTGATGGGAATGTAAATTAGAGCAGCCATTATGAAAAGCACTATGAAGTTTCCTTAAGAAAATTCAAATTGGAACCTACCCTATGAGCCAGCAAGCTTACTCCTGGGTATGTATCTAAAAGAACAGAAACTTCATGTTATTGCCAAGGCTATAGCTCAGTGGTGAAGCATTTGCCCAGTATGTGTGATGCCCTGGGTACAATTCCCAGTACCATAAAAAAAGCATAAATGAATGTTCACAGGTCAAAGATCTGTGCTCCTGTGATAATTGTAACATTATTCACAACAGTCAAAACAAGAACTCAATCTAATTGCTTACCAATACATCAATGGATGAGGAAACACACACACACACACACACACACACACACACACACACACACACACATACACACACTATTTAGGCTTCAAAAGGAAGGAAATCATATCACTAATAAGAATGGGGTGAAACTATAGGATATTATAGTAAGTAAAATAAAACAAGTACAGAGAGACAAATACTGCCTGATTCACTCATGCGTGAAAGCTTGAAAAATTAAATTCATAAAAGCAGTGTGGAATATTATCAAGGCCTGAGAGAGGTGAGTTTGAAGAGGTGCTGGTAAAAACAGCATCTCAATACAGCAGAGGAATGTGCTCAAGACACCTATGTGACTACAGGAGAAAAATTGCATATTTGAAAACCACTGAGTCACAAGAAGACAGCTATGTCAGATAACACATAGGAAAATTATCCTGATGCAACACCTCCGCAGGTATACATACTTCAAAACATCATGTTGTAAACTATATATATATGTGTGTGTATATATATATATTTAAAAGCACATATGTACTTTTAAATTTACATATATAATATATACTTATATTATATATATATATATATAAATTTAAAAGCATTTAAATTTAATCTAATTGCTATCAAGACCACATGTGAATGGGAAGTTTTAGGCACAGACTCCAGTATAATTTACTTGGAGAAATATTACATTTGCTTATTTTTATCCTCAAAGCACTTGACTGAGATCTTCTATGGCAGCCAGATATTTAGACTGTATTTGTTTAGAAGGAAAGTAGACATCTCTTTGGGGTTATTCAGAGGCTATCCTGGGACAGTAAGGTCACAGGGAACTTCAACTTGTGGCCCTACTTGGCTCTGACCTGGCCACCCAGCACATAAAGCTTCCTTAAGGGAGAGTTGTTACCTTCACATTGTGTGAAGCAACAATTACTTCCGCTCACCCAGCACTGATGGGGTTAAGTGTTTCCCACATCCTCCAGGCAGCTCTAGCACTCACTGGCTGGTTCCACCATTCCCTGATGATCACAAGTCTTCTCGGGATCCCAGAGCTGTGAGGCATCTGTATTAGTTCCTTCTTCCATTGCCAACACAATTTCTGGTACAAAGCAACTTAAGGAAAGAAGGGTCTGTTTGGCTCACTGCTCTGTGGTAGTGTCCATCATGGCGGGGAAGTCATGGTACCAGGAGATGAGGCAAATGGATATATCACATTCATGGCTGAGGAGGGCGGGAGAGAGATGGGGGAAGAGAGAGGAGAGAGGAGGTGGGGACTGACGATGTTTAGTCCAGGTTCTCCTTTACATGCAGTCCAGGGTGCCCAGCCTGTAGAGTGGCACAGCATACCTTAAGGGTGAGTCTTGTCATTTCAATGAACCCAGTCTAGAAAATTCCTCACAGGCATGCCCAGACTGTCTCCTAAGTGACTGTAGATCCTGTCAAGTTGACAATTGGTGTCAATCATCTCAACACCAACAGTTTCAGTTGCTTTAAGGTTTCCAGTGTCTGAACCATCTCTCCTTGGTGAGGCAGGCTGATTTGCTGAGCTCTGCCAGGACAGCGGACATCATGTGGGGAGGGGACACTCTTGTACAAAATGACACCTGATGGGAAGTGATCAGTAATGTCAAGACAGCAGCCACATGTTCCTGAGACTGGCCCTGAGCTTGCCCAGTCTACTTCATGCAGCCATCCCTTACCTCTGAGGGACTTCCTGAACAACACGGCCTTTGAGCTGCTCAGACGTGTTTGACCTGGCTCCGCTCCAAAACTACGTTTATTGAGGTGTGGCCATGTCACTTTCCATTCCAGACCTGGAGCCTCTAAGCAGAGAATCCTGGCTTCGGCCTTCTTAAAGCTTGTCCTGGCACCTGGCGGCACCTCTCAGCCTGGTGGCTCTCTGTTTCTCAGCCATGTCTTGCCCGTTCATCCTGGCAGGAATAAAAATACTCTAAAGAGAAACAATTGTACCCTTCCCTTTGGCTATCAGACTGTTGAAACTTCTCTGGGAATCTCACACGAGGAGAAGCAAAGGGCTGAAGCTTGGCGGTAGGCAGAGGAGGAAAGAGATCTCAGCGTTCTGACTTGTCAGAGAACCCTGCAGGAGACACTGGAGCCCACACAATGAGTCAGTGATGGGCTGGACCACACCTTGATGAAGCCTATTTAATGAAGCATGCCTCTGGCCCTCTATTTAAACCTAAACCTCACCAGGTCGCTGGTGATGGATTTGGGGCATGGGTGGGTGTCATTGGGTCTCCTTGATCCTCTACCTAATGTGGCCATATTGAAGACACCTCTCTTCTCTACTTTTTACTGTTAACTAGCCAGTTGTGGGGGCTGGAGAGATGGCTCAATGGTTGAGAATGCTTGTTGCTCAACCACGAGGACCTGAGGTTGGATCCTAGCACCCAAATCAGACAGTTCACAACTCCCTGGAATTCCTTCTTCTGGCCTCTGCAGACACCCACATACATGTATGTATACATTTGCAGCGACACATACAAGGGACAGGAAAACACATGCACATAAATAAAATAAATTGGTTTTTTGAAGTCAGGTAGCTAAGTCTAGCTTATAAAAGCTGCCAGGGCCCAGGCTCTGATCCTACCAATTCTGGTACAAAGACTGCTGCCCCCTGGGTCCACAGCAGAGTCCAGCAAGTCATCTACATACTACACCCACGGCCATTCAAGGTCACCCTTGATTACATAGAGTGTTTGAGGCTAGCTGAGATCTTCTCTTAAATAGAGAAAGAAAGAAAGAAAGAAAGAAAGAAAGAAAGAAAGAAAGAAAGAAAGAAAGAGAAAGAAAGAAGGAAGGAAGGAAGGAAGGAAGGAAAGAAAGAAAGAAAGAAAGAAAGAAAGAAAGAAAGAAAGAAAGAAAGAAAGAAAGGAAGAAAGAAAAGGGGGAGGAGAGAGATCAGCAGACACACGTGTGTCCACCCCTTGTCTCTTGCCATGTGAATAGCCCATACCTTGAGACTTTGTGGGCAAGAAGGCCACCACCAGATACCGCCTCTTGCCCCTTAATCAGAACTGTGAGACAAAATAACCATCTTTCCTTCGCTAAGTGCCTAGCCTCAGCATTTCATTACGATCGATCGCAGAAGCTACTCTAATACAGTTTCCTCCGCCGTAGCTGTACCGTCTCTGGGAGTCATTCCTGTGAAGACGTTCCGTTTTCTAGAAGGAAGATTTCCCTTTGCCTTTGAGGGGACCCAGCTGGCACCTCTCTAAGACGGACTAATGGGACAGAGATACAGTTTTATTTACGTGGACATGAGAGACCACAAGAAAGCGCAGACTTGACCTGATAAAAATGACCAATCCTGAGGGCTTCTGTACCGATTTCAGAATATAACTTACCTACCTAAGCGTCGGTTGAACCCAGAGTGGCAACAGTGGGGACGTACCTCACACGTATGAGGCAGCCTGCTAATGCTTATCATCCCAGCCCTCGGAAGGTTAAAGCAGGAGGTCACTGCAAGTTTAAGGTCAGTCTGAGCTACACAGAGTTGCAAGCCAGCCGGGGCCACAAAGTGAGACCCTATTTCAAAAGAAAATGGAAAAAAAAAAAAAAAAAGGTGTATGAGGACACCAAAGAAGGTAAGAGTTGTTTTAACAATGTCTGTTGATATGGATGTCACCTCCTTAACTCCTTATCTCCTACCCTTTCAGTCACTCCCAAGGAGCAGAGAGACTGGTTCGTGGTTTGATAAGTCAGCTAAGGGAGCCTCCCTTCCTGCTCTGTCTCTCCAGGGCTAGAGTCCCCAAGCATTCTCCCATCCTGGCAGCCCCAGTGGTTGGCTGCCCAGCCAAGTTTGCAGGATCAGCCACTTGTGAACCCCCGAGAGGAGCAAACACTTGTGGAATTTGCTCATAGCTCTCATTGTGAGTTTCTGTTTGGTGAATTCCACGTTCCCAGGAAGTGCCCTCAGCATTTCATAACACAATAGCTCTTGTTGGGTAGTGGGTGGGGGTGCGGGTAAGGGGACAACTTTGCAAAGCACAAGATGGACACTGTGAATAGGGACAGACAGTCGGATGCCATGCCTTCTCATAACCGCATGCTGGCTGGAGCCTATCCAACTGGACCAGCCTGGGAAGCCAGGGAGAAGGCAGAGACGAGACAAGGAGCTGAGCCTACCCCCAGGCCCATGGTGGTACGCTTCCACACAAGACCTGGGGACTTGAAGTCAGGACAAAGAAGTCTATGCCCAAGGACCAGACATTGACTCTAGTCCTCAGAGAACCTAAGCTCCTAAAACAGCTCAAAAAGAACAAGATCCCTCTTTTTGTCCTCTTAGACCACAGGCTCAGATTAGTGATCAGCTTCCAAGGTTGCTGTCAACGGTCACCGTGTCACAGTCTAGCGTTCAAAATGAGTGTGCATCAGTGGGACTCTACATGATTTAACATGATAGTAACAGGTGATGTATGTTCTCATAACTGGAATTACTGAAAATAGCCTGTTAAATATCGATCTGACAGCCGGGCGATGGTGGCGCACGCCTTTAATCCCAGCACTCGGGAGGCAGAGGCAGGCGGATCTCTGTGAGTTCGAGGCCAGCCTGAGCTACAGAGTGAGTTCCAGGAAAGGTGCAAAGCTACACAGAGAGACCCTGTCTCGAAAAATATATATATCGATCTGAGTTGACCTGGGGAGATGGCCCAGTCAGTAAAGTGCTTACTACAGAAATATGAAGACCTGAATTCAATCCCCGGAATCCATGAGTTCCCCTCAGTGATGGACCATAACCTGGAAGTGTAAGCCAAATAAACAGCAGGGTGTGGTGGCGGCGACTTGTCATCCTAGCACTGAGAGGTGGAAACAAGCAGATACCCTGGGCTCACTGGCCAGCCCCGCCTACTCAGTGAGCTCTAGCACAGTGGGGGATCCCATTTAAACAACAGCAAGGTGGACAGCTCCTGACAGATGATGATGATACCTAAGGTCACTGTCTGCCCTCCACCCAGACACATTCACACACGACCCCCTAAGTACATAAGTGACCCTCTTTCTCATACACATACACACTAACACATGCATGCACAATCAATCCATTTGTGTAAAATGAGGCCAAGTAAAAAGTTGGCATCTTCAGCCTTTTGCAGATTTAAAGCAGAGGAGATGCATCTTCTTGCCCTAATAACCATTTTGGTTTTTAACACTCTCTGAAGTCACCATGAAGATTTTAACTTTAATTTTTTCTCAATTGTATCACTTCATGGCAAATGTCTTCCTTAGAGATAACTTGTGCCCTTAAAATTTTTATGGGAAAGTTGTATTTGGGTTTACCTTTTTAGACTTTCTAAAGTAAAATAATTAATTTTGTTTGTTTGTTTGGTTGGTTTTTTTGCTGTCTATATTCCCTATAATATGATGCTGACTTCTCACAAATTAGCTACGGTCTAGATAACTATACAGCAGTGTAAGTGTAAGTTTACAAGTTATGTGTAGTTGTGCTTATGTGTAAAAGTGTAGAGAGTAGAGGGAGGATGGAGAAAGGAGGAAGAGCAAGGAAAAAAGTTAAGGTTTAAGAAACGTGAGGGAGAGTTGGGTGGGTAGGAAGGGGGTGGATCTGAGAGGAGCCAGAGGAAAAAATGAATATGATCAAAACACATTGCGTGAAGTTCTCAAAGAACTAATAAAAATTTCTTAGAAGAAGAAAGATGTGGGAGAAGAATTTGTTAAACCAGACAGGAGTGGGTGCTTTTTCTCAAAGCCAGAGGGTAGCAAAGTCAAGTCAAGTCATGAGGGCTGCCGGGTGTGCTTGTCGAAACACTCCCCAGTGGATGGTCAGTGCTGTCAACTGTCACACTGTTTAGAATTGCCTAGGAAGAGAGGCTCAGTGGAAGGCTGTCTAGATCAGGCTGGTCTGTGGGCGCGTCTGAGACTGAATTGTCTTGACGTTGTCAGTTCAGGTGGGAAGACTCGCCCTTTGTGAGGGGTAATTTTCCCTGGGGTTGGGTGCTGGACTCTTGTCAGTATAGAAAGGGAGCTGAGTACAAGAAGCACGCATGCTTTCCTTTCTCTCTGCTCTTGGCTGTGGATGTGATGTGACTAGCTACTCCACGCTCCTGCCTTGACTTCCCTGAAACAATGGACTGTGACCCAGATTTATAAGTTATATGAACACTTTCTCCCTTAACATTGCTTTTTTGTTGTTAATCTTTCTAAGAATTACTTAATAAAATATAAGCATTTACCATTTCACACTATCTGAAGGTCAGAAATTTGGGAACAGTTTGGCTGGGTTGAGTCATCTCCAGGGGCCCAAGAATTATAGTCAGAGCCATGGAACCTGGACCAGCTGACTAGGGCCACTGTCACCCAAAGACTCGATTGAGCTACAGTGTCTACTTTCAGGATGGCTAACTGACATGGCTGACAAGTTGGGATAGGCCAGTGTGGCTGTTGGGTGCCACATACTCTATATACAGGCCCTCACACTCCAGAGGCAACCCTCTCCCAGAACAAGTGATCTGACAGAGCAAGCCAGAATCCATCATGTTGTTTACTATCTAACCTTGGAATGAGTCATACTCCATCCTTTCTGCAATGCTCTATTGTTTACACAAAATTCATCTCCCTGTTTGGCACAGAAGGACAGTCAAGATGTGAGGGTCTTGGAGGACAATGGCCACACCATGGAAAATGCAAAAACACAGATAACTCATTCTTGGAAAAGAGGACTTCTGAAACCCTCAGAAGTCCAGTCTTGCTCAAGTTTCAAACCCTCCATCCTGCATTTGAACCAGAAGTACAGCAGAAATGACTGAACTCCACATTCCTTTGGCTCTCGGCCACTGCTACCCACAAAGCATCGTAGTGTGCTCCAAGGTAGGACAGGCAAGGAAGAAGCAAGGTGGGACCACAGCCTCTCTCTTCAAATTTCCCTTTGACTGACAGGGAGCCTGTGGCAGCACATGCTTGACAAGACCACAAGGCAAAAGCTGCTCCCAATTAATCAATTAATCAATCAATCATCAATCAATCAAAGATAAGGAATAATGGGATTTCAGTGAAGTCCAGTGCTCATAAAAAAGACCAAAGGGACAATTTGTCAGCGTGATGCAGATGAGGAAGGATGACACCAACATTAGAGAAGTGAGCACTGGC